TTCCATTTTTCCATTCCCCTACATAACGCTGTATAACCCTCCACTAATCCCCAAATAATCCCTGTATACCCGTTTTTTGAGAGATTCCCAAATCACTTAAATATAACCCCCTTCCAGTTCACAGGTTGGACTAAAGAGCGGTGAGCATCTGACAGCGGCGGTGCGGCAGCCGCAGTTGCCTGCCGTGATAGTATATGGGGGCTTCCCGACCTTGAGAGTACCTTTAAAAGGGCTCTAAGGTTACATAGAGGTTATATAGGGTTTTAGGGGTCCCTTTTTTGGGGGTCTGTAATAACAAGGATCATCTTGTCATATTGTTTGGGGGGTCTATATTGGGAGAGCTACCATGTCGGATTTCATAAGGCTTGATAGGGCCCTGGAACATTTTTGTGGACTTTGTAGGTGTTTATTTGGATTTATGTGGTTCAAGGCCAGAAGAACCGCCTTCTTGTATTTGCTTGATTTGCGGCACCGTTGTAGAAGTCAGGCAGTCGAGGCGTATGGTGTGGGGAACATGGCTCAGCGTTCGAAATTTGAAGCGCTCCCAATCTTTTCGTCATGCTTATCCAGCTTGTGGGTGGTGAGCATGCATACTTTCCTGAAACTTGCGGGAAATGAAAGCATGTCGATAAAACATATAACCCAAACAGTACGGTAGTTTCCCTTTTCTGTTCCATTCGTCCATATTACCCTATATAACCGCTAGAAATCCCTAACGGAAAGCATATCTCCAACAATTCACACAAGGAAGGCTCCTTGGGCAATCTTCCAAAGTCCATGCTCCTAAAATGTGCCCTGTAGGGATGGGCCCCCCCAACAGTATCCGTAAAATCAGAAGCCTAAACTCTAAATACTAGGCCCCAGGTTCTGAAGCCTAAATCCTAAAGCCAAAATCCAAAACCCTAAATCTTAAACCCTTAACTGCCATGGTGCAAAGCGTGTCTGTAAGCAGTGCTTCCGCCATTTCCCAGAAGCTTTGCCAACCCGAAGCCCGAGCCCAGTGCGATCTATTCAACACCCTCGTGTGACAGCTAAGCTATCTCATTTTGATTAACAACCACCAACCTTAAAGCACTATAGAAGCGTCCCTACATCACTAATGTAGACCCCTGATTAATGAACCCATCCCCTTAATAAGGATTATAATAGGGATCCTAATACTAAGGCCCTTAAAAGGAGGGGTTCATTAATCATGGGTCTATATCTATCCAAGGATCGCTGCGACGTTGACTGCTTTTGCGCTTCTGCGCGCGGACGGATCCGTGGTGACTTGGGGTGAGCCGAACCAAGGCAGGGAACGTTGGTTCCATTGTTATCCCTACCGTCCTTGCAATTCTTTCTAGTTATCCTTACCATCCTGAACCCTCTAAACTCTGAGCCAGTGCTACTTTGAATCTTCAGGTCACTGTTGGGTTATACAGTTTTTTGGCTCTGGAAGTGGCAGTGACTGCCGGGCTTCTGATGCGGGAGCTTTCCAAAATTTCGGGTCCCGTTCCGGGCATCCATGATGGAGGTTGGATTTCCTTTTTGGAGGTGTGCATATGGTGAGTTCATTTGTTCAAGAAGATCTTAGTTCATTGCAATGCAGAATGTTATCAGTGTTACCATGTTTACCTCAGGTCGTTGCGAACAACACATTCTCCTGATTCTTTGCATCCGTCCCGTCATGATCATCGCTGCTGACACTAGTATTGGGTGCTGCAAGATTTCGGTCCGTCTTGAGGTTGTCAGCAATTCCGATCCTCCATTTTTGGATATATGCTGGAGGCTAATTTCTGTGCAGGGCCAAATCTGCACTTTTAACTTGGAACTAGGTAGGGAAGAAGCAAGTTATGACCAGGTAGTATCCCAGAACGTTTTATAGCTTCTGATGTAGGTAACACTCCCCAGACCCCCTAAAGGATCCAACAAATGGAACCCCCTAATAATCCCCTAGTTTCCCCAGTGTAGAAATGGGTTCATATTGGGAGGGGTTCCTGTTTTTGGATCCTTTAGGGGGTCTGGGTAGATGCCTACCTAACCCTAAACCCTAAACCCTAGACCCTATACCCTAAACCTTAGGGTCTTTGCCTCGTGTTTCGGTGTGAGGGACGTGGCTCCTGCACGATATGTGCTTCTGACCTGCATGCAGGCGGAAAAAGGGGCGGCAAAAAAGACAAACAAACCCTAAACCCTAAACCCTAGACCCTAAACTGGGTAGATGCCTACCTAGACCTGGGAGGTGGTGACAGCAGCGAGGTTCAGGAGGACCTGCACGACATTCTGGACATACAGGCTCTTGAGCCCAAAAGCCATTTGTACTATAGTCTAAACTCCTTAAAGGGGGGATATATAGGGGACTACTATAGGGATTATTTAGGGGGATACTAGGAGTTTAGACTATGGCTCATTTGGGGGTTTCCCAAAATTAGGGGAAACCTTTTGGGGGCGCCCAATAAAAAGGGCTGTATAGTATTTGGGGGTCTATATTGGGTTCCCTAATTTTGGGACACCACCAAATTGTGTGGAAGGTGAGTGTAAGGTGAAGGGCCAGAAGGGTTTTTGGGTGCCGGGAGTGGCACTGACGGGGTCGACTCTGAAAGCTTTAGGTACTGCCCCCACCCAGTAACAGTCTATAGTAGGGGTCCTATTAAGGGCTATATATAACCATAGTATAAATATTATCCAACTGTTACTGAGGGGGGGCAGTACTGAGGCTTTGGTCTGTTTGAGGGACATACATGGGGGTTCCCCAAAATTAGGGGTCTCTTGGTGGGGGTCCCCATAGTAAGGATTTTTGTATTTGGGGATCTATATTGGGTTCCCTCTATTTTGGGAAACTACCACATTTTCTCATAAGGCCACTAGAACATCAAAACCTGGTGGCGCGATGCATTTGTGAGCAGAATGTGCAGCAGCGCCGCAATCTCAATGTCTACATTTGGTAGCTTCCATCTGTAGGGGACCCCATATGGACCCCAAAATATTATATTCCTCATTAGAGTGTCCTCCAAAAGCCTACCCCCCCCATTTTTGGGAAACACCCATTTCTACTGTACCTGCCAATTCTGTACCTTTTTTTTTAACGTCCGACTTGAGAGCTGAGTTGAGGATTCGGCCACGGCCTATGGGTGGTGCAGTCTTTTCGACCAGAAATGGTAGTTTCCCTAAATAGGGGGACCCCAATATGGACCCTCAAATACTACAGTCCTTATAGGGACCCCCAGAAAGGTACCCCTAATTTTGGGAAGCCCCCAAATCTACTTGAAGCAGCCCAGGGAAAACACGGAACTAGGCACTAGTCACTACCAGTATTCCTGTCTACTGCTCGATACCCAAGAAGCCCAGGCTAACCAAGATCTTAGGAAGTACAGTACATAAATGGGATGCAAATTGGTTTCCTCCATCCACCGTGCCGTAGGGGAGGGCCGCCCCAGCGGTGTGGAAGATACTATTCCCTACTAGAAACCCATGTCCATGAATTACATATCCAGTATACATCCCTGTAAGCCCGTATGTAATCCCAGTTTCCACTTCATTTTCCGTAGCATACCCTTTTACATCCCCATGTCATTCCTCGAAACCTCTACAAGCAGCCATTCATTATGTATTGTATGGAAGTATTTCTTATATTATCCCAAAACTATATTATACTTATTATAGTGTAGCTCCACATGACACCGAGGCTTCCGACTATGCTTTCGCCGCGCGCCGCGCCGACGGCTGCGTGGTGACCTGGGGCCGCTAGGAACAAGTTCGGTCATATTGGGGTTTGGGGTTTAGGGTTTTTTGGGGTCTACATTGAGGTGTTAAAAAGTGGGACTTTCTCCAAACCTCCGGGTTGCCTAGAAAAGGGATTTGGTATTTTGGGGTCTATATTGCGGGCAAAATGGGACTTTCCGTAAACTTGGGGTTACCCCTGTAAGGATATAGGTGTACATAGGGATGGGACGTTGCACGTGCAGGCAATGTCTCCCTAAACCGAGTTTAGGATGAAGGGCCATGAACCCTGGCAACTCAACTAGGAAAAGCCCGTATCACCAAGTGTGTGCATGTGTGTGCGAGGAAGCTTTTGGGTTGTTCTCAAAATAAAGGGCCCTTTCTGGTTATACATTATATCACGGCACCTATTAAAGTTGGGGGTACCTAAATGGGCCTTAATTTTGGGAACTACCCTTTTGGACTTCACCCCTCAGGGTGAAGTGTGCCATCTGAGTTGTTGACTTTCCGCGGGAGGGCCTCTTGTACGGCCAAGCAAACTGTTGAGGCTGCCCACAATTTGTTTCCCCAACATGTTGCCGTGTCTCCTGTATTTGCTGCTTCCGGCCTCCAGCCCCAAACCTAAACCCTAAACCCTAAACCCAAAATCCTGGACCCCTGAAAAGTTGTCCATGCCCTTGGCAAGGCAGCGCGATCGATGGGGGTGACAGCAGCGACGTGCAAGAGAGCCTCACTTCAGTGGAGCAGATAAAGGCTCGTGGAATGACATGAGTTATAGTCTAAACTCCTTAAAGGGGGGTTATATAGGGGATTATATAGGGGACTACTATAGGGGATATTAAGGGGGATACTAGGAGTTTAGACTATAGCTCACATGGAGGTCTCCAAATTTGACACTTTTAAAGGAGACATAGAGGTTACAGTATGTAGGATATTTCAGGGATCTGTAGGGATGTATAGAGTTCAGGCGAAAAGCTAGGGAATTACCCTAGTGTTGGGAAGGCTCATGGACAAGAAGAGTGGAGAAATGCATGCAAACTGGGGCTCTTTGTTTGAGATGAGCTATAGAAAGGATCCTAGTAGATCGGGGTCTATTTTTCCGAAAACCCCACAACATTTCCACGGCACCTAACTTGGAGTAGTTGCAGCTGGGGTCGGCAGTTGGAGAAACTGAGATATTTATTGATTCCTTTCGCATTTGGTCATTTAGGGCCTGACACGGATACTCTTAGAAGTGATGAGGCGCATGCACGTCTGCACAAGCACCTTGACTACAGCCCAGCTCGGCTATGCAACTTGATGCCATGGAGGCTGCCGAGCGTGCCTTTGCGGCTATTCTGTCGGATGGCCGCTTCGAGTGGCAATGTTGAGCGGGGTTTTTGGCTTTGGGTGTGTGTGAGGTTTTGCCTTCATGGAGGAATATGTGCTACAGCCTTATTTCTTACGAACAATGACTGGCTGACTCTGGTGCAGTGCGTTTGCTTTTGGCACAGGCATTCAAGGCTTTGAAGCCAAAATGTTTTGCGTTCAGGGCCTGAATTTTTGTTCAGCCAGCATGGCATGCACTTCATGGAGCACCATCTTGGCAAGCCAACCAGGAACAGACTGTTTGGAAACGAAGCACTATTGCTGGCCGTTCTCAGGCCCAAAGTTTTGCCTTGTAATGGCCGAAATACAGGAAGCTCCCTGTGAACAGGAACCTTCCTTTGAACAGTGCCACCGCTCGTTGGCATCAGCAGCTGAAACCACACCAGCAGCTGCACAAGCAGAAGCAGACACAGGGGCAACCGTAGTAGCAACTGCAACAGCAACAGCTCATGCTGCTGATGTTGGTCCTCCTCCTCCTCCTCCTCCGCGTCCGCCCCCACCCCAGCCAGATGCCTCTCCCAGGCGATCCGAACCATATCTTACTGGGGGTCTTGTAGGGCTGAGTGAATATGTTGTATAGGGACTATATAGGGATCTTATTCCCTCATTCCCTACAATAACCCCAGTATACAACCTGCTATACTCTAGTAGTTTCCATTTTCTTTTCCACTACCCCCATATAACCCCATTGAATTCCATTATTCCCTACTAACCACCAGTAAGTATATGCACATACAGATCCAGGCTCGGTGGTGGCCTGGGGCGACAGTTACAACGGGGGTGACTGTACTGCCGTGAGTCACGAGCTGCAGCAGGCACCGTCCTAAGGACAAGGGTTTGGGGTTTGACTAGGATTTAGGGTTTAGGGTTGGGTAAACCAAAAAGCCAAATACTAATTTCGAGAAGATGTGATGATGAGGTCCTGCACCGTCATCGCCCAAAACCTTGAACAGCAAAACAACGTTTAACTTTTCTCATCCTTATTCCGTTTGTGATCCCTATAAAGCCAAAGAAGTCTAACTTTCTTAGGACCCCCAAGCCAACCCCGGAGCACCCTTACGGCACGTGGTTCAAACCTTGGTTGCAGTTCAAGCAGGTCCTCTAGCTCACAAGAATGGCAGTATCACAGGGCTGATAAGTGCTCCCATCTAAAGTAGCTTCCCAACGTTTGTGTGTCGAGGCCCTCATCAACCCTGTGAAATTAGATTTTGCATTAATCTTTGCAGAGCGCCTTTCTGAGCTGCGCTACACAAAATCCCGCAGCCCAACTTGGAAGCCGAAAGCTTTCCAAAACAATTCAGATTTCTGGCTCTTAATCTAGGGGTCTACATCGCCTGGATGATGTTGATTGGGTGTATTTTGGAAAGCATTTGGCTTCTGCATTATCCTGCAAAAGCCCTCCCCACTACAGGGAGGCCGTGCCTTTGTTTTGAGCACCGACACCGTTCAGGTATTCCAAGGGATGCAAACTCAAATCCCCTAAACCCTCCTTCCCGGGCATCCTTACATCTATTTATGAAGGGACCCAGACATTTTCCGTATACCTTAAACCCTAAGGCCTCAGCTTAGTGGCAGGTGAAGCACATCCAGGCTTCGCGACTGGCCTTTGCGGCGCTACGCGCAGATGGATCTGCGTCCTGGTTAGGGTTTAGGGTTTAGGGTTCAGGGTTTAGGGTTGAGGCTTTCGGGCACTGTTTGAGTGGGGAGGGTGTTCCTCAACATGTTGTGGTTTCTTGCAACGGTGTTTTTAAGCTTTTGTCAGGATGGGCCAATTTGTGATACTGCTTTGGGCACTTGGGGGACGCAGAGTGCATTTTTGTAATTGTATGGTTTGTGGCTTGCGGTGGCTACCGGCTTCACCGCCATGAGAACCCTATTTACCAAGTCCGGCCCAACCCTTTATGGTCTGATCGGGTGCGCAAGAAGGCTTCGCATGGAGTTTGCAGCTCCCCGTGTGTCAGTTCAGTGTTGCTCTCTGCGGATGTCTGTGTTTACTGAATATTGATGAAGATGTTCTGCGTGGCCAAACTATTCCCCCTGACCCGCAAAAAGGGAGCCCAAATTTTCGGAGACCCTAGACCTCCTAGATCTCTACATCCCTGCAAAACCCCGTATGTGATGTACCCCTATATCCCTTATGTCCTCTTTGAAGGGATCCTTAGTTTCCGGAAGCCACTTATCCCTACCTACAGCTCTGAACTGGACAATTTAAAGCGACCTCACCCGACCTTACCCTAAATGCTGGTTTATCTATGGAATAGTACCAACATGGCCTTAAATTGGGAATTGAGATTATTCTAAGTTACCCAGCTCTGAACCCAGGTTGTCACCTGGGGGCATCCGGACTATGCAGGGGACTCTTAGAAGCATGCAGAGCTGCACTCATGGCTGAGGGTTCTCGCCAGCTAGGACAGAACCCAAGTTATGACCAGGTTCTATCTTGTAGTCTCTTTGTGTTGAATGATTAATCCATAGCACCAGTGTTTTGTGATGTGCGAACGTAGTTTGGGAGTGACTCCTATATGGTTTAGTAGGGGCCCCATGTCTGGCCCTCCCTCAAGCCACTCCTACAAGCGATCCGCTACATGTCTATGTAGACCGGCCTCTTCAACACGGGCCTCAAAATCCCAGTAAAGAGATTTGCGCTTGCAGGGGGCGATGGCTTGAGCTTTTGGATTGACGGCTTTCTGTGGTGCTCAGCCGAGGTGTCTTGTTTTCTCGCATCTTCCCATGTTCCGATTTCCTTTGACATCTTGCTCAGCACAGAAACTTCTGCCCCAGAACTTGAGAAACCGGCAAAAACAAAGGCCGGCCCCCAACCATGATAAGGACAGGAATAGAAAGAGTAGTAGTAATAGTAAGAGCAATAGTTGTGGCCAGACTGAGAACACGTAGGTCTTTAAGCTACAGCAGACTATAGCCTGCGCCCTCATCCGATCGTGCCCAAACATCTCCTCAGGCCGTAATTACTGTAATGTAGAAACATAATCCCCTTATAGTTCTTACATAGGTATAGGATTACATGTCCCAAAGCCCCAGTCCAAGTATCTCCTACACTGTTCGCATCACTATTCGCATCTTGTTGTTGCTACGGTGGGGTCATTGTCAGGGCATTTGCTGCGCTAATGATCATCGCTACACGTATTGGCAGTCTCACAGTTATCCTTTCTACATTACATGATTCCTCTAATCTCGATATGATTCCAGCTTCCACTTCATTTTCCATGTTTTTTCATATGATTCCTCTGTATTGGGGTAATCCTAAACCTAGAATACCCCCATATGTGCCTGCACACAGTAAAGAGGGACTGTGGTGATGGCTTCCACCATGAGAGTCCAGATGCCGTGATCAGACCACTATAGTAGTTTCGATTTCTTTTCCATTATCCCTATATAACCACAATATAACCCCTATATAACCCCTAATATAAACCTAATATGAGTGAGGACTGCGGGCCGGTCAGGGAGCAGCTGAAGGGAGTCCGGGAGATCCAGGCAAGACTTTGGCGTTGGGGCTTGCGCTGTGAATCGACACTGTCCTGCAATATGCACAAACCTTGAGAATTATGGTGCTGAAGTATACTCACTCAGGGTCAGAAATCCGTGAATTTTCAAAAGGAGGCTGTCACGGCTTCATGAGGAAGATTTGCAGGGGTTCTCCAGGTTTATATGACTAGGGAAGCATCAAGGTCCACTGGGAAGTCAGTGGAAGATTCGCCAGGGATTCCATACCACTTCGTCCCCAAGATTCCCCGAGAGCAAAGGTTTTCAAACATAAGAACTTCCATAAGCAGCACCACAGTTTCGCAGCCTTTTTGGGTGAGGTTGGTCTTTGAACGGACAGTACTCAATCAGGTATCATAGGCTGAGTGACTGCCGTCCGCGGAGTGTACAATGGAGCCCTACTAGGTACCCATTGGGGTAATACTAGGGGTTATATGGGGATAATGGAAAATAAAATGGGAACTACTATAGTATATTGGGGTTATAGACGGCGTAATATAAGGGTTATAATGGGGAAATGGAAAGTAGAATGGAAACTACCTTTTGGGGTTTAGGACCTTGAATGACAATCACGTGATCAGGGCATCTGGAACCCTAAACCCTAAACCCTCTAAAGCTGGAGGCATCCTGGGGAGCCTTTGCAGCTCTATTGGAGTCCGGCCGTGTGGTGACGCTGCCGTGATTCCTGGGGGTTAGAGGGAACTTGGGTATACTGCAAGAGGTCTTTGTAAGAATGATTGCGTCTGAGTCTGCGGTTGATTATGTGTTTTTGGTTTCACAGTCGGAAGTATGGCTTTGCTGTACCCTCTTCTTTGCGGAGTGTCAGTGGAGTTGACATGTGACTGCAAGGTTTTATCCTTCACGGTGCAGCCTGCGGTCTCAGATGAAATATTTTCCAACAGGTTTATGCTTGAAAGCGGATATTCTTAATCCAGTAAGAAGGGACTGAATCAGTGTCAAGGGGCGCCCTGGCTCGCTGCCTGCCCCGTGCCCATCCCAGCTTCCCGCACCCTTAACCTGCTGAAATCCCATCCTAAAGCAGGCATCCTAATCTCTTGCCCAAAGCGTTACAGTTGGAGTACCTTATAGACTCTCTCTCTCTCTCTCTCTATGTATATATGTATATGCATATACAGCCCAGGCTTATTCCCCCCTTATTTCCCTCCCAACGCCAATCTGAGCTTAGGTGACGTGGGGAGACCGGGACCTCGGAGGGGACAGTAGGTCGGTGAGCAGCCCCTTGTCCACTCACTGTGAGGTACTGTTGTTATCAGGGTATTTCGTGAGTGTATGTAGGGTTCCGCAGGAATGTTGGTGAGAGTATATCTCGGGTGTCTAGTTGGCTAGATTATAAGTAAAAGTCATGGGTCAAATCCGAGACTGGCACGAGCTCAGGACTTTGGATTTATAGAAGTTCCAGCGTGATTGTTTTCATGGGCTACACGCTACACATTGCGCTTTTGTATCAGCACGATAGCTACGGAACCCCAAGACAATAGCGTTTGGCAAGGTCCGTCAAGGTACAGTTTACTGGGTTGCTGTTAAGGACTTTAAATGAAATTAGCATGATATGGGTATATAGTAAATAATGGGGTTTCCGTATTATAGTATTTTGATTTAAGTTCTTCGGGTATATAGTAAATAATAGGCTTTCCGTATTATAGTACCTTACTTTCAATTCCTTAGCAGCAACCCAGTGTCGTGGCACTGCAGGACTGCACGGCGATTCACGGGAATTGTCTTGGTACCGGCCGGAGTTACTTGATATTCTCTTTGTCCTCCTACACCGAGTTCTGGTCTCCTGCAGAAACGGTAGGACAGGATCCTTGTCCCATTTGGTGTCGGCTCATGGTTCCAAACCCGTCCGAGGGGCCGAGCACATTCCATGTGTTTCTCTCGCTCCACAAGAACCTATGTGCCCTCAACTAGGCACCTAATTGACATCATGGCGGAATTGCTGCTACTGCCATCGCTACTGCTATCGATACTGCTTCTGTCACTGATAGCAGCTGCCGCTGCTGCTGCTGCTGCTGCTGCTGCTGCTGCTGCTGCTGCTGCTGCTGCTGCTGCTGCTGCTCAGCAAAAGTGTTTATTGTTGAGTACCAGCCGCACGAATAATGCAGGAGTGGTGGGCTATTGCTGTGATATTGCCCAGGTCAGCTCCACGACGTGCGCAAGATCCTTTCCTATGCCTTCGAATGTTTTGGTTTTGTTTCGCTTGGACGAATGCGCATAGTAGATGATCGTCTCAAGACAATCCGAAACTGTTGACCCTAATTGTATGCAGAGTCCGACAGCCCCACAGCTAGTGTACATTGATGTCCGCCAATGTAGTGGAGCGAGATTATATGGCGTACTTAATGTAAGGGGGTGGGGGGTGTTTGATACTTCATAGGCGACTACATAGGGCGAGGGGATGTATCCCTGAAACGCCCTCACTCCTGTGCTTGAGGATTCAATCTAATCGCCACGCTTTCGCTGCAATCTTGGAGAGCGGCGGTGTGGTCGCGGGGCATGTTAACTGATTTTAGTAACCCAGCCCCTTCATATCGGTGAGGTGATAGTTATAGGGTGCGTGATTATAGGGGTTGGGGTTACTAAAGCCATGTTACTATTATCAGTTTCATGGATTCCCAAGCCGGCTACTGACAGGGATCCCAGGATGAAGGGAGCAAACAGGGCCAGAACAGCTTCCGACAGTGCCCACTACTCGTAAAAGGGCGGGGTGGGGCAGGCTTATTACATGAGCTGTAGTCTCAAGTCCTTAAAAGGGGTTATATAGGGGATTTTATATAGGGGACTACTATAGGGGTTATTAGGGGAGATATTAGGATTTTAGACTATAGCTCATATGGCTTTCAGTCTCTCTGGCAGATCTGATTAAGGCAAACATTGGCATTTGTGGGTTTTGTAGTGAGTACAGAGCTTGCTGACTTTCAGATTTCAGAAGGATTGCGAAGTCCCCCAATCATAAAACATTTACGCTTAACATTCTGGGTGGTTCTTGTGGCAACTTGTCATGCATGCTTCCAGCTCGTATGATCTTTTGCCGAGTTGTAGAGAACCCAAAAGGCGTCCGTGTGTGTCCTTTCTCCCTTGAGCTGCATGCAAGGCTGCATCATGCTTCCCCACACCACAAGCCCACTTATCCCCTACACTAAGCCCTCAGGTAACTTGGGGCCACCATTCCAGTGGTGGGGCGGTGAACAGCGACTTGCTGCTGAGGGATGTTCAGCAGGCCTCGTGGGTCTCGCACAGGGGAAGAAGACGGAGCCTAGTTCACGTTGCGATCAAGCGGGAGTGGGGAGGGGGTTAGGAGTTATCTAGGGGATATATTGGGGATATATTTGGATAGTGGGAAAGAAAAGAAACTACTATTTGAGGTTTATGAGGGCTCTAGCGGATTCTAGGCTGGCAAGTTGATTTCTTATCCAGGGTTGCTCGAACCTGCTTTCAAGACTGGGGTTGAAGGCGGGGTCCAGGGCTTTGGGTATATACAGGATTTCAACGCGTGATGCCTCGTCCCCGGATACTGCAGGAGCATCCTGATGGCGTGCTAGGCGCGTCAAGAGCCCCATCAGTCGTAGCTACAAAATGCGACAAGAAACGCCAAAGAGGCCGCACATTTTCGTCAGAATGCCCAGGATCGCACACAACACCCTCAAGATATACCTTGAATTGTAAGCGACAACCGAAAAGGCCCGGCCGTGTGTCCCCTCTGCAGATCCCTGTGCATCTGTTGTTGATTCTAATGCCCAATAGTAGTCAAGAGAGGACTTAGTAAAACGTTGCAAATAGTACAGCTTGTGCAAGTGAATTCTGGATCATTGCTGGATTTTCACTTCAATTTACTTAGAATGTTAAGTCATACCCTCAGAAGGAATCCAGTATTAGCAAAGTTCCCCTGGCAGGTCCAGAGTTCGGACTTTGCCTTTGCTGCCATTCTTCGAGATGGATCAGTGGCAACTAGCCTTCCTTTTGCCAACCACTTCTTAGGGTGCATATGAGTGGGTCCCGTACCTAACTCCAATGTGGGACCGTCACAAACTCGGGTGTTTTGATGGTGCTAGAAGACAGGCAATGTCAAGGTTCTGGCTGTACCCGTTAGGCCTTCTCTTCTTTAAGTCATGGTCTTCTGCGCAGGGGTAGATTTTAGGGAGCTGGAGCTGCGTCGCTCACCGGTGTGCAGCTTAGGGCGTGGGGTTCGGGGATGAAATAAGACTGTGGAAGCTGTTGAACCCAGCTGAGGTGCCACAAGAAGCTATAGATTCAGCTGGCCACTACCTCTTAGGGCAAGGGGACTTGTCAACGGACTCTAAGTAGAAATAGGATTCTCACGTCATCGTTCAATTCGCAACCTCATTGTGAAGTGTCATAGACCCCAAACACCATGTCCCTTCCAAGTAAGAGATAGCCTAGGGGCCTGGCTGATTGTTTACATTCCCAGACAAGGTTCCTGTGTAATTTAGGATTTGGGGTTCAGGGATGTATAGGGTCCCTGTTTTGAGAACATCCCAGGTGACTTGGGGTGACGCAGAGTATGGTGGAGACTGCCGAGAAGTGCAGGAGCAGTCGCTGCGCTGAGTTAGAAAAAGCCAGAACGGCACATGGTATTATCGGGTATACAGGACAGCCCCAATTGAGAAATGCCTACTTCATCTCAGTCGAATTTTGAATGGGGATATTTCTGTCCCCAATAAAGAGTACGATCATATCGTCGTCTTGGGCATGGCATAGTATAATATTTGAAAGAGAGTGTAACCTTGTTTTATTCAACCGCCAAGAACTCTACTCATAGAGAACCTTCCTAGCCCATAGTTTACATTTCATTCTCAAAGGATTTTCCATTCGATTCTCAATTATCCGTCCTAGCTCATGTGGTAGGAGGGTCACTTTTTAAGCCCCTAGTATACTACAGCTCAGCCCGAATTTGTAGTGTGCCCAAAAGATAAATACTTTAACAGCCTCCTATATAACCACAAACGCGCCTTCTCTTAGATAAACCCTAAACCCTTGGCAAGGCTTGTGCACGTAAAGCAGATCAATGCGGCAGATGGCGCTTTTGCTGCTGTGCTGAGCACAGGAGGCCTTAAACAAGTATTTAGAGTCCACAGTTGAGGATCTTAGGATTCAAAGTTCAAAGTCTAGTCTCGCCCTGAAGGGCTTCAGTGACTACGGAAATCTCAGGATGCCGTTGACTTACCATTCTGACAAATCCAGACTTCTCAACGTTTGTATATGGAAGTTCCCAAGCAAGCAGCTCTTTTTTTGCGAAGGATCCTTGAATGAGGAACTCCATGGTTCAGCAGAGCTTATGCAGATTTCCTGGGCGGTGCCCGTGCGTGGTCCCGTCGGTCTCCTGAGATCTCCCAGACACTTGGGTTGTTGTCAAAATTATGGTCCCTTTTTGGGTACCCCAAATATTAGGTGCCGTATTATAATAGGAACCCAAAAAGGGACCATAATTTTGACAACCACCCACTTGGTTAGACCTGTAGTAGCAGTTTCATGCGGGGGTGGATGCAAGTGCTGGAAAGCTTGTTTTGGGTTCAGGTTATACTGGTCCGAGATGAGGGTGTACTAGGCAGAGATGGGTCAGCGAGGGTAACGCAGAACATGTTCAAAGCTCATCAGCACAGATGGGCTACCAGGTTTGCTGCAGGATTGGCCGCTGAGTTGTTATTGCTTCCTCCTGAGTGCTAGCAAAGCCAACAGTTTTGAACAGCATGACGGATAGAGTGCTCTTCTGATAATCCAGACACTCTTCTGATAATCCAGACATTCAACGCACAAACTCCAAGCTTTGAAAAGTAATCCCAAATTTTGAGCCCTGAGCCTCAAAGCCTCGCTTGCCCTGAAATCAAGCCTCTATGGACCCATGACACATACGTTCCCACGTTCATGCCTGCAGACCTTGGTCTGAGCCTGAACCAGGCTCCATTGAGTTCAAAGTAAAAAACCACCCCGGCTTGATATACATGCTGCCCTGAAAACCCACACCCCAGAAAAGGACTTGAGCCCCAAAATCCCGAAGGCATAGTGACCTGGGGTGAAGTCTCGGACGGCGGAAACAGCTCCTTCGTCCAGGGGCGGCTCGAGGACGCTCCTGGTCCTGCGTTTCAACGTAGATAGATCCCTTGTTGAGCTGGGCAATTTAAAGCGACCTCACCCGACCTCACCTTAAATGGCGGTTTATAGGGCATAGTACCAAAATGGCCTCAAAGTGGGAATTGAAATTCCTCTAAATTACCATGTTGTTGGCAGGTCTCTCTCTATGTGTTTTGTCTACATATACACGCGTTTTTTTCCATGTATCAAGGGCTAAATTGGTGCCTGGTTTGTTGGTCGCTGGCATTGCCTTTTGCGATCAAGTCTTCCCAAATTTCGGGTCCCTCCTTTGTTTTTCAACACTATCATCCCTTAGTGGCCAGAGTTCCCAGGCTTCCTTGTTGCTTGTTGGGGATCCCATCAACAGCTGAGCTTAACATCTCTTGAAAGCAAAACGTCAAAATGAGCCCTTCATCTTTCGGCCGTAAACCGATTCCTCAACTTACTGGTGGTTAGCAGGGAAGAAGGGAAATTAATCCCTATAGTGCCCCTTAAGTAGATAGAATATGGAATTGAACCATATTACAAAAAGATCCCCATATACCGCATATTCTATCTACTTAAGGGGACTCTATATATATACATACATATTATTCCCTTATGCCCAAGTCCCCAAACCCTAAACCCTAAACCCAGTAAGACAAGGTTCGTCAAGTCCAAGCCTCTTCTGGTGCCTTTGCCGCCCTATTGGGCGACGGCTGCTGGGCTTCAGTTGACCTGGGTGGAGAGGGCTTTGAAGGAAAAACTAATCGTCCCCCTTAAGTAGATATAATACGGGGTATATGGGGATCTTATTATAATATACCCAAAGCCATATTCTATTTCCTTAAGGGGGACTATAGCTTCATCCCAGAATCCGGAAAGGGCCCTGAAAGTTGGAACCATGGCTGGCTGACAGTGCCCTTAGGGATCCTAGAAATGTTATCATCATTTGAGTCTAGGAATCCCGCTGTAGGACGATGCAGCGGGAAGCATGGTGCCTGCTCTTGGAATAATAGGGAATGAAATGGAAAAACAACTTTCAAGATACATGGAAACTACGATATGGGGGATAGGTATGCTCAACTTTCTTGTTTTCGGGTGTTCGTGTGCTGCTAGACGCATATTCAAAGTTGGTTTCAAAAAAAAATCACCACAACAAGGGTGTTGCTGTCTCAGGGATTCTCTGTGTAGGCTTCACATTGTAGCGCTAAGCCCGGCTTAGGCCAGCCAAAATTATGCTACAACCAGGTACTGTCCTAGAGTCTGTGATATGCTCATTTTTGAGTGCAATGCCAGTGTTTCTGAACATAGTCCCCCTTAAGTAGCTAGAATATAGAATTCCTAGAAGCACTAGAAGCAAGCCAGGTTCCGTGATTGCATGGGGTGCTGCAGATCGGGGTGGAAACTGCAGCTCCGTGCAGGTGGAGCTGAAGAACCTCAGTTGCTAGTTTACTTGAGCCATAGTCTAAACTCCTAGTATCCCCCTCAATAAGCCGTATACTCCCTATATCGTCCCCTATATAAGCCGCTTAGAGGAGTGTTGACTATAGTTTACTTGCCGGTGCTGAAAGGGGATGGGCATGGATCCCAAGAGTTTCCGTACTACTATCGAGCCCCCCGTGCTTCCCTGCCCAATGCTCAATCAGTGCCAGTAGGTTGAGATTTTTGAGGATTAGGGTTGTAGGGGATCAAGCTTCTGGCCACGTGCTTGTGAGGCTCTGATGGTATACTGTAATTAGGACAGTTTGTGTAGCAAGGGTGGTTTGTGGAGTTTCTGCTCATGGTATTCAAGCTCGCAAAATTTTAAGTTTAAGGGTCTTGAAGGTTCGGGTAGTTCCTCTCAGAAGCTTTTCCAGGCTGTTTGAGTAGCGGGGTGCCGTGACCTGAAAACCTCGATTCCAGGTATACCGCGTGCATCTTTCATGTCAAGCTTTGAAAATATTAGCCCCGACTAACTCTACTACCTGACTGTGGAAACCTAAAACTTGCAGCCTGTGAGGAACGTGCAGCATGTCCAGTCGACTCGCTATGCCTTCGCCGCGATCACCGCTGATGGCAGAGTTGTGACTGGCAAGTCAAGTGG